TCACCGGGTGCAAGTTGCACAGTTTGTACTCGCCAGGCATTTTGTTTTTGAGGGCAGAGCCATGTAAAAATGACTTGGTTCAGCTATGGTAAACAGATACGGTGAGGCACAAAAAACGTGGAAAGTACGCAGCCCAATCTATCTGCAGCGACTCAAACTAAAATGTAGAGCTTCCTAATGCTTCCAAGAGATGGCGCAAGTTGTAAAATTGGGATAAGCATGTCCGAGCGACTGCTCAGGGAGATGCCAGATTTATCACTACAAGTGGGATGCATATGTCCCAGTGGTAAACAAAAAAAGCTAAATTTCTTTCAAAGACACCGTGTTTTTCAAATAAATGCAGTAATAAATTGTCGCCATGCTCGACATTATGCAACAATGTTATCTTCATTATATATATAAAAAAAGATGTTCTTTCACACCGTCATTTAAGCTATCCTGAAGCTCAAGGAGTGTTTCATAAAACTGCAATTCCGCAACGATTTGCAGGCGGGGTAGAAGCATGTGAAGGGCATTGCCAAGACTCGCTGCAAAAGCAATGTCAGGTCTGCTAATGTCCATGTGTGGCCTTGTGCACGTGTTTGCCTTTATCCTGTGGGATCCTGCAAACTCCTCTCGTGTACGAGTTTGTCGAGCCCTCAAACAGTCTCGTTTGGCAGGAGGGGGCCTCGACTGCTGTGACGTCAACACCCTCTGCCCTACACCTCCATTTCTATGCATAGGATTAGCATCTGTTGGTGACGCTCCTTGAGAGGCTGATGTGCCTGGTGGTACCAATTGCTCCGGTGTGGGCAACTGGCCGCTCTCCTCCAGTTCCAGCAGCGCCAAGCATGCTGCCGATGGTTCGAGGTCACCTAAATCCTGCAGGGGAAATCGCTTGAACAGAACGCAGAAACGGGAATGCAAACTGCTACATAACTCGCTTGTGTGGAACTTCCACACAGCAAAAAAAAAAAAAGATATGCTTTTCAGGAATACTTTTTTTTTTATTAAATATTGGGGTTAGGGGGCTGAAATATGCCCAGCTAGTAGAAATCGGGCTCCTCTTTTCATTCATGCAATCCGTTCGCTGATAGCTGTTCTGGTTCAATATCTGTGCTGCATGACATGCATAAAAAGTACCAGTATTGTGCACACAATGTTTCCTGCTAATTATAAAGGTAAAGCAGCCTAAATAGCCAGGTTGGTTCCCCAATAACTAGTGTGGATATCTATTTGAATCAGCAATACCTAAAATATTTTTTTATATAAAATTTAGAAAAGTTTGTCAGTATTTTTAAAATTTCACTTTTTGTTTAGTATTTAAAAACGAAAAGTTGTTGTACTTACGTTATAACTAACAAGATTTGCACACTCTGTGCAGCCTTAGAAACAGCTGTGTAAAATTTCATTGTGATTTGACAACTAGAGGAAACGGGCAAAAACACTGTAGAGAATATGTTATATGTTTATATGTTTATATGTTTTGTATTACCCCACAAGCTTCCCCCCCTTATGTATTGCCCCACAGGGCCCTTAAGGAGAAATAAATGAAATGAAAAACACATTTCAAAGTCTATTGTTATGCTAGATACCAAACTTGCCACTCCAACTGCACGAAACTTGAGGCTGACATAGTCCAAAATGTCTATCGTTGGATCCCCAGACTAAAATTCTCCCGCAGCATAGGTAGCGCCCTCACGGTCTTTGTGCTTAGAGTCCTTTGCACGAGCATGCTTCTCCTGATGGCGTCGATGGGATCTCGCTTCAGCGGTCAGCTTCGGAGACAGGCTTGTTCCCCTCTTCAAGTCAGCTGCACTGCTCAGACGGACCAGCTGCTTGGAAGGGAGGACTCCGAGCCCTTCCAGAACTTGCTCAAGGCTGGAGTGGCCCCTATCGAACCATAGCGCAGCAATGGCGGTGGCAGTCTCCACCGTAGTCCCTGCAGCAAAGTGGGTCTTAGGGCACAGCATCCAAATCTCGGTGTTCAAGGACTCAGTAGCATTCTTCATCTTCCCTGCGGACAGCGAGCAAGGAGCTTGATGTCTGTCAACCACTGGTAAATGGAAAGCACTGCCTTCCCTTGTGCTTTGGTGAGGAAGGGTGTGTGGGCCGGAGCTGGTGGTTGCAGAGCTATTGCCCTCTTATGCTTGCACCAAGACTCCTCCCCTTCATGGCAGAACTTGTGGCTGCTGGCTCTGTCAGTCGAGCATGAGGGAAAAAAGGATGCCCAGATTGCACAGTACATCCCTCGCACACTCCCTCGGTTGCTGGTGATGGCACTTTGGTAGTACTGCTGCAGCTGTAGAATGGTCTTGTCGCCAAGCTTCTCCCCACGTGGTAGAGGCGTCTTTAGCTTCGTCAGGGCTGTTCCAAGACGCTTGGCAACATGGTTCATACAGTCCTCCTTCGTCACCGCGGTAGACCCATACACCTCTGCATTTGACACTACCGCGTACGCATTGCTGTCTCCGTCGCTGAGGGATGTTGTAAACTGCAAGTCCGTGTTGTATGTCTGTGTCCTATTCCAGATGCGTAGAGGTGCTGCAGTTTTTATTGCATGTGATGAGCAGTCTACGTTCTTCTCGCACACAAGAGAATGAAATGCCTGCCACACTGCAGCCCTGGCAGTAGTCCTACAGCACCTCGAAATCCAGGCAGAGGCCTGTGTCCACAGAAATGGCAGTGCCAATGCCATTGTGGCTCTTATGTCCCCGTTTCTGCCACGTCCCGTCAAACATCACGGCGATGTCGCTCTGACCCGCTTCAGACGCAGTTGCTCGCCTTGCTTCTGCAAGGTTGTCAGAGACGGCTTTGGTGGCAGCAGCGTGGACTTTTTTCGAGATGTTGTGGAACGTTTCTTGATGGAGCGGTTTGGGGAGACCGAGGATGCCACAAAATCTAACCAGCTGGTCGTGACTGACACTACTTTCATGTTGAATGCAAAGGTGTCGTGGGCGCTTCCACTGCTTTGTTTAGGGTCGCGCATTTCACGGCCGGCGGCGGTCGCACGATGTGGTTTATATGCAGCTGAAAGAACTTCGGGAGGGCATGCAACGCTCGTGCATTTGAGTTCCAGCAACGATGCAAGGCCGTTGCGTTTGTTTTCAACTTCCACAACGGAAATTTTGCTCTTGCCGCATGTCCCCCACGCCGCGCCGCTCACAAGTTGCGTAAGGGTTTGACTTTCGCAGATAACGGCGTTTCCGCCGCTTCCTTTCTCAATGGTTTCATTGCAAAATGTCATCTGCTTCTTTCCCGAAGCACTTGCGGAGTACGACAAGTCGTTGATGAACTCCGAAGCGCTCTGTTGCTCGGCGCTTGCGGTGCTCGAAGGCGGGTTGGGCGCGTCGCCATTCTGCTCGAGCGGTAGGTCCCTGGGTGGGTCCATCGCATTTGTCCCTTTTGTGCGTTTGCTTTCGCCTTCCCTTGAACGGGCGCAGTGGCCGACTCTTCCGGAGTCGAAGGTGGCCTTTCTCGTCGCCATCGATCGTGAAAAACGCTCAATAGTCGCAGAAACCATAGTTCTCGTTTCAGATAGCGTGCGACGCGATACAATTGGCAAAGATGCGCTAGCTTCACTGCATGGTTCGTTAGGGTGTTAGCAAATAGCAGTACCACATTTATGTCCCGTAGTTCCTGAAGGCTCGTCGGGACGCGGGAAAATGTTTTTTTTATTATTATTTCTACCGCTAGTACGAAACTGTGGTAGGAGTCAACGGAAATGAAGGCTTATTCCTCCTGGTCGAAGTGACGGCAACAATGGCTGACGCAAACTTTGGGAGAGACGCGAGCTCGAAAAACCTCGTAAGTGACAAACTTCTCCATTTTTGTGAGTCGCGGTAAAGGCCCGTTCACACTCTTGCGACCGAGTAAGACCGAGAGAGACCAGACCGGTTTTCAAGCCTCTTGCGATCTCTTAGGACCAGCTCCGCTGCATCGCATCCGGTCCTAAGAAGTCGCAAAAGGCTTAAAAACCGGTCTGGTCTCTCTCGGTCGCAAGAGTGTAAACAGCGCTTGAGGCGTTCAAGTTTTTTTGTTTTTTTTTTGTAACTTCTAGGCCGAATTTTGTAACAATTCTTTTTTATATGAAACTAGAAGGCATACAGATTGCAAAAACATTAAAAAACAAAAATCTGAACTTTGAGCCGAAGCGTCGATTGCTCGGTTCACTTGACAGTAGCAATAAGAAAGGGCAGAGGCAGCATCACAGCTCTAGAAACTCCGGGTATTGTAGAATGGACAGTCTTCAGCGATATGAGGGGCCCATTGGAAACACGTGGCCAAGACAGTGACTGGCAGGGGTGCGACATGCCTTGTGGACAGCTTCACATTGTTCCACATAGAATGAAATGCGATAATGAAACTAGTTGAATCAGTGCACTAGGGCTGAAGAGATTTATCACTTCTGGGCACCATAGAATTTCCTTAAGTGAGAGTATCCTAGCCTCTGTCTTTCCAGTGCGCTCGGAGTGTGTTTAGCATATTGCTGGAGACTGCGTCACTATAAATAGAATTCCTTTTTTAGGGGGCTTTTTTGTTTTCACATCAGAGTTTTCTAGGGTCTTTCTTTTCCCACAAATTGTTCCAAATTTTCTGGTGTTAATCTTGGGTGTCAGACAAAATATGGCTGCTTGTTGGGGCTTATGTTTGGGGAACGACACATCGGCATGGATTGCCCCAACCTCTGGGGAAATGCATGGGACCCGAATACCTCGGAAACATTCCGTACCAATAAACAAAAAAGGAACTAGATAAGGGGTGTTCCAAAGATACCAGGGACGTAAACAGTTAATTGGGGAGTGTGTTCTAACACCGTAAAATAAAGCAGCACAGAACTATTTCTTTGAGTGAAGCTTAGGATTCTTCATTCAAAAACTGCTCCAATTTGGGGGTTTTCGGTTTTCTGCGACACTGACAGAACTGGACCGCAGGTCAATTTTGCAGGGTTTACCGGTGCTCCGATAAACCCGAAAAAATATGGAATCCTAATTATAAAGGACATGACAAACCGGCGAATCTTTGGACCTGCCTCCAAGAATAGCCAATCGCTTAAATGAAAGAGGAGAGTGAGAAAAGGGTAATTACACAGGAGCCACTTGCAAACATGCTTATCGAAGGCAGTTGTTAAATAAAATGTATGTCTTCATGCTCCAGTATGTCTTCCATCTCGGCATCAGCAGGCATCCCAGGCTGTCTATTTTCTGCGGGGGTTGCGGTCTCTCCAGGGCAATACATTTCCGCAAGGATCTCTGCATATTGAGAAAAACACCAAGTGACAGAATAAAAGCTATGCAGTTTTGTGCAATATTTCTCGTAGGTAGAAAATTTGAAATAGCTTTCAGCTCATCATGCCCAAGTCCCGTTAGAGTGACAAACAAAAATAAACAACAGCGACAAGCGATACCTTTGGCAGTCATTTAGTTGTCCGGTGCTCTCAAAGTAAGCACGGGTCATCGCAAGCCGGCCAAAGATACCCTCGCGTGCATGGTGCTCGTGTTTGAGGCGCGACGGTGTCGGTTGTTTCCGTTAGTCGCTTTGCCGTGACTCGGGCATTAGAGTTTGTCTGGAAAGCTGCACTCTTTATGAACACCTGCCTCCTGGCACGGAAGTGGGGGCTCCTTCACTCCAGTTTGTAGACATGGTGTTGTGTGAGGCTCCTTTTGTCTTGGGACAAACCAGGGTTCTGCCACGTCATCGTTACAATGCATACAAAATACGGCACAATCTGCAGTGCCCTTTGTTGTCCAAAACATTCTGTGCCTACCATCTGCACAGATTTGACCATCGGGGAACCCCAGGAACTTGAAAAGAACCCACGTGGGAGGCTGGACACCCTCCTCGCCAGCTTTACTCTTGCCTTTCGCCGCTCTCGTCTCTTAACATAGCGGTTGCGGATGGCCTTCCACATTCTGTGACATTCGATCACCTCCAAGCTTGAAACCGGGAACCTCATCAGGATGGTACGAACAAATGACAATAATTACAATCAAACGTTACGAAGGAATAAACAGCATTGACTTTACGGGTTGGAATCGCAAAGTCGACCTGCTCGTGCATCCTACAAAAGCGCAATGTTCACTACGGAAGTACCTGCGGAAACGTCTCGAGCATCTTCGAAGGATGTTCGTTCGATAAATGTGTGGGCTTCGAACATGTCTGCAGTCAGTTCTTGAGTGACCAATATGACCATCATGGAAGGAAAAGCCTCAGACAGTGTCCCTGAAGACCGTCTCTTGACCAATCAAGATTAGCAGTGTGATCGCAACTTAAGAGTATGTCACTGAAACATCTCGTCATTATGGTAGGTGCACGTGCCACCTCCCTTGCATCCAGTGGTGTAGCCAAGGAGGAGGCTATCACTTTGCCGCCAATGCACCAGCGGCTCCAAAGCTGGTCCTGTGTCGCTGTGTCGCCGTCGTCCATGTGCCAGGGACTGGAGTCGGCAGCTGTAGTGATTCGGAGCTCGAGGGCTCTGCGGGATGTTGCCGCCAATTGCGGCGCCGGACTCCACGTCCGTACAAAAGCGTTCAATTTTTGTACGTTAGCCACGGATGTTCTGATAAAATAAATCGACGTGACCCATCTCTTTTCACTGGACATGGGGGCTCCTTCCGAGACGTGCAGGAGGTCGTTCCTTTGGCTGCCTCTTAAAGCTTTGAGGCAAGGTTTTGGAAACACTGCAGAATTGGCGAGTTCCTCGATATTGTCGGCAGGCACGGGCATAATAATAATAGTTTTATTTGACACGAATTCAGAGTTGTGATTCAAGTACGGCCCCGTCCAAACGAAGTAGGGCTCATGAGTCAGAACCCGGCAGGTGAGTGTCAAAAAAGTGTACTCGGTTGTTAGTGGCCCGACTAACGGGGGAAAGCGAAAAGTTGCGAGGTAATGGGAGAGTTTTACGTATATCATTGTAACTCTTTTACTGCCTTCCACTCATGCGCTAGTAAAATTTAAACAACATTCAAAAGTGCAATTTTTCTTTGACTTCACTTTTGTGAAGTCGCAACTAGTATGAAACTGGAAAAGGATATGGGTGACGACATAAAACTGTAAGTACTCCAAAATATTGTAACTGAATATCGCATAGCATGCTGCAAAAAGTCATCGGTGCAGATTGGCATATTTAAGTTTTTTAATACTATAATTTCCAACAGCGAATTAGTGGCCTACGAACAAAATGAGCCTGTTTGTGTTGAGTGTAATACAACTATTCAAAAAACCTTCAGCAGCGACTAAATAGCGTCATTGGTTACGACTTTAATAATATAAAGACACGTTCAATTACTTCATGGCCACATCCCTCCAAAATGCATACTATGGTTTAGGAGCGTATGAATTAGTTTTCTAAAAATCTGTCAAAACAGGGTTCATAACGGAACTTCCATGTTTATAATTAATACACAATAAAAGTTATTGAACAAAAGGTAAGGGTGCAAACGAGCTGGTGTTGGTTTAACATTTTGACTACCGTAAAATACCGGGCAAGCGCCCAATCAAATTTTGGAGATAATCGCAAAAAAAATGGTGGATGAGTGCTTGTCCAGTCATCAATTTTACATATAAATGTGCGCATATTTTCTCAGATCTTGCAAATTCGGTAATGGGCGCTTAATGTGAAATGGGCGGATGCATGGTATTCTACGGTAAAAATCTCGAGACTGGGAAGAGAATGGATGGACAAACACAAGACCTTGTGTTTTTCCATCCCTTCCCAGTCTTGAGTCAAAATGCATAAAAGTTATGCTTGCTTCAAAGCACTATTTTTTGCAAAAGAATATAAAAAATACCTGAGCCATTAAAGGACACATGCAAAGGAAAAAAAAATTTTTTTAGACAGCTTAGATGGAAAAAGGATGTCATAAAACGATTTTACAACGAAGAAACAAAATTTTTAGAGCTATATTTACGGCGCTATACGAATTTGTAGTTGGCGCTCGCGGGAGCCGCCGCTGGTCACGTGGTAGGCCCGCGCGCCGCCGCGCTGCGTCGCCGCCGCACGCTGAGCGTTGTGCGAACGCCGCTTCAACGCGTTTCTCCACGCCGCCGTCGCCGCCGCCGCACAAGTTCGTCTGCTTCGGGGCGCCGCCGCCGTCGTCTGACCGGCGCACAGGTCTATCACATCTGCTTGCACTTTTTCAGGAGTTTCCTTTGGGCTCTAAAAGTTACTTATTCGTCTTGGTTTTTTGTTATACTTCAAACAAAGATGAATAAGTTACTTTTAGAGGCCATAGGAAGGTTCCGAAAGAGCGCAAGCACCACGTGATAAATAAAGACCAGTCACGTGATAAATACAGACCACTTTTCCGCGGTGCCCGCGGGCGCCAACTACAAATTCGTTTTGCGCCGTAAATATAGCTCTAAAAATTTTTTTTCTTCGTTGTAAAATCGTTTTATGGCGTCCTTTTTCCATCTAAGCCGTTTAAAAAAAATGTTTTTTTTCCTTTGCATGTGTCCTTTAACGTAATTGTGGCCGAAACAAATAGATATGTGTAAAACACATTTCTATTCACGCACGAGGGTCACACAATGCAACCGCTTTTCTGGATAGTCTGTAGTAAAGAATTACAGGACTGTTTATTAACTAGGTCCCATTTGTAATTTGTGGAATGAGACAACACAATGCACCAACTTCAACTGGTTCGTTAGAAAATCAAGGGTATAAATACTCTGCATCATCGCGCCCTTCAACCAATCCCATGCCACGCCACTGATCTCAAGAACTGTGTCTCTTTGTCGCCCAAATCGATCGACGCCACGCTGACACATCGATCTCCGTAGTTTTTTTATCAGGTCTGCCTCTATAATTTTCCTTACTGTATTATCTCTGTTTTTTAATAACAGTGCACAAATTAAATTCAGGTTTGCACCCACAGTCATGGAAGTGCATCGACAAATGACCGTCACGTTTTCTAGCCTGCTCACTAGACATAAAGAATTTATACTATTCCCTTCCGCACGACAAACTACTGACCTGCGTAGAGGAAAGCATCGATAAACACGGGGTGGTGGCCTTTCAGAACGCAGCAGGAATGCCTGTAGATGACTTTCTCGAATTGCTTACATTTGATCTAAACTCGACCTTTGTTGAGTGGAACAGGGGAGTGTATATTCAGAAGCGAGGGTTGTGTATTTGCTAGTGTTTAGCTCCAGTTTTACGTGATATATTTTTAGCCCATCATGACAGAGTTCTCTCGGAATGCCTGAATGACTTTAATGGTAGCAAGGTTTTTAGATTCGTCGACAATTATTTAGTTTTTCTTCACCATGATGTTTCTCACTTTTCCTTGGTGGTGAACAGCCTTTTAACAGTTTTTAGTACCATCCTTGATCCTCTCAAGCTTACGCACGAGGTACTTGTGGACAACGTCATACAGTTTCTAGATATCAGGCTCACACTTTTGGAACAACACGTGTGTTGGAAATACCAACCAAGAGCAGATAAGCCCCTGTTGCCGTTCAATTCATCTCATTTGAAACTTGTTAAGAGAGGAATTGTAAATTTGTGCTTTGTGAACTCCATCAGAAGGTTGTGTCATCATGCAATGCCTTAAAGTCTGAAGGAGCAGTCAGAACGCTTGGTGGCTGCCGGTTTTCCAGGGACGCTCCTGGTGTCGGCTGCAGAAAAAGTTGTAAAGAAGCTACGAGTAGTAGCGAGTCCAGACCAAGATGTGGCTCAAAAGAAACAAAGTCTGGCGGTTGTGCCTTACATGCACAAAACCGCACGCAATATCAAAAAGATAGCAAACCACGTAAATGCTCGGGTGGTTCTTTCTGCACCGGAAAAACTTGCCAAGTTGTGCAAAATGACGGACCCTCACCGCAAACCACCGGTTGGCTGCGTGAAGAAGCATCGCAGCTTGTTTGTAGAATGCGCAGCGAGAGTCGTCTATCAGATCTCGCTGACGTGCGGTAAAAAGTATGTGGGACAGACGGGAAGATGTCTAAATGACAGATTGCGCGAACACAACCAAAAAGTGAGCGGACAGCTTGACGATCATTTGTCAATGCACTGCCTTGACTGTGGGTGCAAACCTGAATTTAATTTGTGCACTGTTATTAGAAAACATAAAGATAAGGCGGTAAGGGAAAGTTTTACACATGCACACGCCCTAAATTTTTACACATGCAGAAATCAAGAGGGGGGTCAGGACATCCGGACCTCCCCTCTGAATCCGTTCCTGGCTGAAACTACCGTTTGCAATTCGACATTGGAAGGAATTGCCAAACTTGTGGTTCCTTAGCAAATCTCAAATTGTTTTGCAGCCATACAAATCCCAATATTGACCAGTAGATGGGCGATATGGGACAGGCACGTCAGAAGCCACCTCTCTTCTCATTTGTGTGTTGGCAAGAAGTTGTCACTGAAATATTGCCTGACCGTAGACTGCAAAACGGATTTAATTTTGTTTCGTTAGTTGATAATGAACGATAATAGTCAACAGCCGAGAATGATCTCGCTCTCACCCATGACCAAAATAGGAGCCCTGAAGGTAATTTTGGCCACCAACTGGTTGACGTCAACTTAGCCAGCTTGTCTGCACTCCGAATAAAGACCGGTAGCTACGAAAATGAAATAAAAAGTGAGTTTCAGACGCTATTCTTTTTTGTCGCCGATGGCTCGAGCACATGAGGTAAATCTTGACGCGAAAGAAATCAAGTGACCTCGAGAACACTTCCTCCGCACATAGAATAACGTGGGGCAAACATCTGTCAACATGGCATCTAGCTTAGTGTGTGGGAGGAATCAAGATGCTTCCTTTCGTAACAACAGTCAGGCATTCTTTCACAATGTCCTTGACCTTCATTTTACTTTACCACAAGACTCTGTAGGAGAAAGCAGGTGATCCCAAATCGGTTCTAGATTTTCTTACCGTGTAAGCAAACTTGCCTCTGGGCTCACGCCTCATTTTTCAACGTCTGCTGCCGCTGCAGAAGTGGACGCCACTCCCCCCGCAACAGGGAGCACTTTGGTGCTGATGGAAGAGAGTAAAAATGTTTTAAACTCAGACCCGATATCAACTGTGCTTGTTCTTAGCAGTAAGTGATGTAGCATATCACCGTCGGTGCTGAATCTGGCCCTTAAGGAAGGCCAGTTACTTGAAGAGGTGCCATGTTGGCACGGCAAGACCATCGCGGCCAGCACCGCTCCGGCCTCTTTGTTTCTTCGATTCTCTCGCATACTTGGCCCTCATGGCCAGCCAAGCCTGACAGCAGGCGTTAGAGTCGCTGCCTGAAGTGAATGAAGTAAATGTGGCATAAATAACTAAAGTATCGCTTATGAATACAAGTTTTAGAACAGAAATCATGATGGAACTAGATTTATAACACAACTTCAATTAGGACAGCCAATAGGTGCAACAGACATGCACCAGGTTTGCTTGCCAGTATTCAACCCAAACTTTACAAACCTCCTTCAGCATCTTGAAATGTAGTCTTTTTATGTTCTGCCTGTTTGATCTCTTCATTACTGATCGCTCGATTAATAATGGCTTCCCATTTCGTGCCATGACTTTGGGAAATGGTTATGCGAGGTACGCAAACGAGAGGTGCGAGCAGTGGGTTGTGGGTGGGTGTGCGCTGCCCACTCGGACGTGAATGGTCACAGACAGCTGCAGGGAGGCCGCATCTGTGGCTCCGAGGCAAACCGCCGGCCCAAAGAATCGAATCCCCAGTTGGTGGGTTGGAATCCTAGCTGGAGAGAAGGTGCCAGGTAACCGAGATTTCAGTTTCACGTTCAAAGAATCCCAGGTGATGTAAATTAATCGCTGAGGTATGCGACGGCCTTCCTTGATTTGGCATGCAGAACTTCGCAAACGTTTCTTTGCGAATGGCAGGGAAGTCTATTGGCACTATCACCTCCGGCGTGACCCAAAACAAATCTTTGATAACACTTTGGCGTCTTGCGAGCTTCGAGTGTACGCCCAGGCGCGTGCAGCTGACCGTGAACGGGAACGTTCATGCATAGTGAAAGTTAGACAGAAGGCAACAAGCGTGCGACGAAGGCAGGCCGTCCAGAGGTGCCCTGGGTTGAGGCGCAAATTATATAGTTCTGTTAAGAGGTCATACTCACAGAAAGCGATTCCAATTGCCTTCCAGGAATTTTTGCGCTTCCCAGTGTCCCTGTAGTCCATACGGCTTGCGTTCCATAGCCATGGACACCGCTCAATTTCGATGATGAGTGCTTCTGAGCAAGGAGCCACTGGAGGAGCTGCCATGTTGTCAACGGAGAACAGACTCATGACTGGCATACAACGCCTTGATTCGTGATTGGTCTGTTCCCATACTGTGATATTTAGTCTGACCTGTGTATACAAAAAGTACAAGGGACAAAAACGGATCCATTATGCTTTGTACCATGCACATCTAGCATGCAAATTACGAATTCAGAACCAATGAATACTTTCGTGAAACTTTCATTTGCATTTAATTTTTTTATGTTATTGTACTGCGCAATTATTCTTTTGTTTCTGAAGAAAGCCTGTGTTATGGGGACTAGCCGAGAAACCAAAGTAAAAAAAAGTCATAAATTTATATTTTGATAACTGACGCTGGCTTTAGTGTTTTAAAGGAAACCTGGTAAGCGGGAGGTAGATGCACAACAAAAATAACCTGAAAAGTTTGAAGTTGCTTGTATAAAGTGAAGCAGAGTAATAGCGAAACAATTCGAGTCATTGGGTGGCATTGAGCCATGGCGTTGATGCAAAATGCGCTGCAAAAATCGACACCTGCATATACCCACATTTTCATCGAACGTGTATTGTATAGGGAGACACATTCTTGTGAAATCTCTCGGTGTAGTTGACTCGTTCCTGTAAAAATTTAGAACATCTTCACCGAGGGCAATGACGAAAAGGTTAGCAGATAACTTTCGGTCGTGTTTGGTGCTCCGGACGAGAGATGGTGCCACCTTTCTGTTTGGAATGTCAAGAAGGAAAGAGGGAGGGGAGAGCCGTCCCTCCCTCTTTCCTTGACGGTCGCCCGACCTCCCATCCCGGTAATCATCTTCCGATGATGGACTGCAGTGCTTTGTCATTCTTGTTTATTTTCGCAGTTATGGTTGCTGCAAATATATCCCATGGTTGAACGTTAGGAAAGTACAATACTTCTGGCTAGTGAAAATCAATTACAACAAACTCCCATGAAACTGAACACACTTAAACTGAATTCATGGATACGTGGAACAAAGTTGGAATGTTTGGTTGGTTTCTTGTAGATTCTATGCAGAAAAAGCTTGCTTAACACAAACCACTTCGCATGCCCATTTGTTGGTTCAAACGTTTGCAGCATAGTGCACATTCTGTGCAACTTCCCTTAGTGGGCAAGCTGCTGAGGCTGCCGCACAATGTCTCCTACCCTGGGACGACGGAACGGGAGTTTGTAGGAGAGAGAATATTGGTGTTGACAGCAGTGGCAGAGGATTACCCACATTTCCTGCCATATTGCCGCCACGCTCATAGCCGAAGACAAATGTAGTCAAAGCTCTCGAGATAGACAGTCGTGTCAGTCGTGTTGTATAATCTTACTCTATAGCAGTGGCTCTCAACGAGGTGTGTGTTGTGGACCACAAATGCTGTAGCAACGTTCACAATTTTTGCCTTGCCATCTGACGATGGTTACATCGCCCTTTCTCTCGCCTTTTGCATCGAGGCTCTATCGTCCTTCTCGCCTTATTTCGTTTTCACTTTTCAGTGCACATCCCTGCAGCCTGTATGCGCGGATAGCACTGACGGCCCAGATACTGACGGCATTGAGTTCTCGGAGTAGTGGAAGTAATGTGTAGTAGTTGTCAAAGAAACACTTAAAGTTCCTGAACTTTGGCAAGTGTTTCATGAGCCTCATCACAATGGAGCCACCAATTTTGAGGTGCTTGTGCTCGAGCGATTTCCCCATTTCTTTTCCGTGATACAGCTTGAAGTCACTTTGCCATAGTATGTGAGCTGCAGCGGACAAACACTGACACCTCCAGGGTTAGGTTTGTTTTTGCAGAAATCGCTTGGCCGCAACTCTACTTATGAAAGGGATCATCTGCTCATCAATGCTGTTGTTCTCGAATGTAGTAAGTTCCAGATACCTCTGTCTGACAGCATCCAGCACGGGGTGCACCTTCCGAAACTTATCAGTTAGAGCCCGGGGCGAAGATGTCTCCGTGCCGTGCAAAGCTGACCGGAGCTTGAAAAATCTGTTGACCCCCATCGCCTCCGATACGCTGGGGATCTGCGTTGCCGGCTGCCAGTACATACGTATGCGGGGAAACTTGGGCGTCCCCATGATCATCATCATCCCGAAGAATGCTTTAACATCCTCCGGAGTGTTTCCGAGATTTGTTTCCCGAGGTGCGCAGTCCGTAAATGTTCATGCACCCCGCAAACTATACGAATGGTGAGTTCAGAAAATACCTTCGAAAGTATTCCCATGGCTCAGCCACCTCCTCTAAAGTCATGTGGTTGTCATCCAATGTTGTGTCAGGGGGCTCGAAATCGCTGCTTGTCCAAACAGTCTGCACCTTTTGATTACGCGCTTCCTCCGCTTCATCATTTTCCTCTGAAGCAGGAGCCGGCTGTTGCAGCCCTGAAGGCCTGCCTCGTGTTCCAGGGGGTTGACCTAAGTGACAAAAGGCATTCTCTTTAACTTAGCTAAGCAGTTAACAATGTCATCCAAATATTTAAAGCGCCTGTACTCGCAGATCGATGAGGCTCTCTGTCCTCCTTAACAGAGAGGCCGACATCGGATGCATTTCCATCGGAAATTTGCATTAGCAACCTCTGTGCTGTGGCACTGCCGACCCTCGTGCGATTTCTCGCATGATTTCGGATGTCTGAATTGGGAAGAAGCAACACATTGTCACTAGAATATATGAATTTCCAATGAAAAGCTCCTTGCAAGAATGATAACGGCACTATAGCACTAATGTTTTCTTCGAAGCACATTTTTGCACAATGTGGCCATAGCGGCACGCTGTACGTGGGGGGATCGGTGGCCGAGTGGGCTAAAGCGCATACCCAGCTCGACGCGCGTGGAGCGAAAGATCGCGCTGCAGAACCCAGGGATCCTGGGTTCGAGCCCCACCCCTGCCCGTTTCGATCTGGATGAGCATCGTACCGGCGTGCGGTCGTGTATCACTACTGCGTGGCGCACGTTAAAGACCCCAGGTTAGCAGTCGTACTGCACTGGCGAAATTGCTCATCTACAGTGTAAACCAGTGTCGCCTGATCCTGGCAGACCGACCTTACACTGTATAAATCACTAAACGTCCAATTTTTGACACATGTGTTTGTGAAATTCACTAATCCGTTAGAGAAGCAATTACTGCATCCTAACATTTCAAGCTACTGTGTTACATTCATTAGCATCTTTGGAATGCTTAGGCATGCAGCAAGTCTCGTCAGAAAACATCCAATTAAGCAAAGATTTGTTTTTCGGAGCCACTCGCCACCCGCGTCGCTGTAGAACAAGGAGGCATCCATCTTGCAACGGTGTTATTAATTGTAGTTAAAGGCAGCCACGGCAGATGGCGCCACCAACCCGCTCCATAAGGTGTACACGATCGTGTACAACCTGTCTCCAGCGGTACAGGCCCACATCTAAAGAGTAAATAAATTTGCAAAGTCGAATACACAAATGTGTATGCCATGTCTAGAGCCCTGCTCGGATAACAGTTTGATTATGCGCATCCGATCTGCATCTGCAGACTTTGGATCCGCATCCGAACCGCATCCTCAAACTTTTTACATTATTGTATCCAACCCGCATCCGCATACTTTGTACCCGTATCCGAACCACATCCACAAAATGTGGAACCACATCCGACTCACAATCCAAGTATTCATTGTATAACAAAACACCAAGCGTGAATGAAAAAAAAAATTCAAATAGCACTTTTTAAGCTGTTTGCTTATCTTTGTACAAAGAAATTTTTGTGTGACCATTCAAAGGGGATGTCATTTTATCATTATCAGTTTCATTGTAATTATATTAAAAGCGATCAGCCATCCCGAGACACTGTGCGTCGAAAAAAAAAATTATCTGAGTTATGTGATTGTCAAACAGGATAGTTGGGCGAATTGGTATGTATTCATAATGAAACAGCGCGAATTTTACAGGGATAGAGGAAGGAACTGGACAGGACGAGCGCTGACTAACAACTGAAAAGTTTATTATCAGGAAATCACGAAGGAAACGTACAACAACACGACTCTCCAATCGCGATGGAAATGCGCATGCGCCTCACAAGATTGGGTGCTATCTGTTACACAATTCTATGTGCGTCATCCCCGATCTAAACATTCAACCCCACTGTCGAGCAAATTCAAGGAAGCCTGACTCACGCAGGCTGGCCCCTCCTCCTTTATTCTATGAGCTTCGACAATCAAGCTTTTTGGTCCCTGTGTTTATACAAAACAATGGCCTTGTCAAGTAACGGTGTACAGGCGCAGTCCCTGCAGTGTAACGCCAAGTGGGAGCTTCCTGTTTCTGTTAAAGAACTCCGGTGCACCCGCAGGCAAATGTTGAGGCACTGCCCCGTCTGTCCGATAAATACCTTCCCGCACGTGTTTTGGAATCGGTCGTTAGTCAGCGCTCGTCCTGTCGTTCCGTCAAACAATTAAAAAGTAAGAGAGGTTCATAGTCGTCTGGCTACGGCGCAGTTGGACGAATATTAACTACCAGACTTTTTGGCTAGGACTCTAAGCATACAAAAAAGAAACACACAGGCAGTTCATGGGCTTCCTATATGCGTGCGCTGTTGATTCCGAAAGTTTACAAACCGTGGCACCACAGGGTCGCGCTCGCCGTCGGGGCACTTGTTTTGTTTTTGGAATCATGACCACACTACTCTTTGTGGAGAGG